TTCTGTTTAAGTGGAGTGAGAGGATAGAATTCGGTTGAAGATGAGCGCCAGGTTCGATTCGCTTTCCTTCGAGATAACATTGCTCAAATGGCGAACCTCGCTTGTTTCTAAAAAGGAAGCTCTCCAAACAATGACTGTTCAGTAATTAAGGTATGATCTCCTTCCTCGCTGTGTTAATAATGGTGTGATGGAAGACCCTTACACGGAGGCACTCAGAGAATATGAGTACTGTATGGCTCCTGTCAGAGAGCGGACGTACGGGCGGTGCCGGATTCTTGAGGTTGTTTGTGAGGAGTGGTTTTCGTTAAGTTCAATCTTTTGGCCTGTTTCTGAGTTCTTACTTCTCAATCTTTTTCTTTTATGTTTGGGACGACATTGTGAAGGTATTTTTCATCGACGAAGGATTTCAAGCATGGGTCTCGAAATATGTAAGTAAACGTTTGTACTGTAAATCGATCGCATGTAGCCACAATAGTAGCTTTTGCCTAGAATTGAGTCCGCTAGAAGAAAAAGTTGTATATTGAATTATAACTGTCTCTGCGATTTCTCCGATGATCTTGTCCCCCAATAGTCTTCGATCTTCGATCACTGAAAATATCTAAATAACTTTTGTAATTCCACTGCGTATGGTCTAGAGAAGTTCCAACCAGAAGCGAGGAATTCGACGAAATCGTGTTTGGGAAATAATTATTATTGGTACTAATTGCAGCTCGAAGACGCTTTGAGTACTCATTACAGTGGCACGAAAAGTTTCTCGAGTAATACCCGTAGTACGGGCCATAATTACCAGGCGATTAGATTACGCTTCCGGGTAATCGTAAGCAAATCAGAGACAGAGATAAATCGCGAACATTTTTTTCACCAGTTTTGGTCTTTTTCCCTTCTAAGAGGCGCTCCGGAAATTTCAAATGTACCCCTTTGCGGCTAATCTAACGTACCAATCCAAAGACGGGCTAGTTCTGTCCGTATCGTATAGGCTTCAAGGGTTGCGACAGGGTTTCTGTAAAGGTTCACAATGGGACGCACACATTTTAAGCAGGCAGCTTACTATAGCCGGGCGTGCGCCATGGCATACACATTAGGACAGTTCGTCCGAATACTTCTTTGCACTACTCTAGACTATCGCCTCCACCATTCGACGAAAACTAGATACCCCACAGTTATCGTGAACTGTGCTTTCTGTAGGCTTGTTATAAAAAACTAAGAGTTGTCCTCATGTTTTAAAACTGTGAGATATCGGGAAGTAAAGGGAAATATAGCAGAAAACTGATCTGAGAGCAGTCTCAATTCCTGATGTGACTGCTTATAAGACTTCCAGCAGCCAGGACCAATATGTGGGGGAAATACAGGCAGATAGAAAATGGTGTCACTGATGTGTCATAAAAGTGAAATTTCAGTGAGAAACTTTGTGTAGGAAGAAAAAGGTCAAATCGAAATGGTGTGTGAACGGACTTTCGAGTAGAACAAAGATGAAAATATTCATTGCAATTTCACTTTAGCTAGCAGGAGATGACGTTAGAGAATTTATGATACCTAACCTAATAAACCTTATGTTCGAAATATTACGTCCAGGGTATGCGAAATGCTTACAGTGTCTTGCCTGTATGCCAAAAGACTTCATGTATCACCCGTGGCAAGCAATCATGATTTCTCTCTGTGGAGTCAACAAACGAAAACTTCCTACGCATAAACGACAGGTAACGTCATGCCTGGGAGTTTGAATTTTTGTTTTGTACTCGAGAGGCATTATTATGGAAACGAAGCATCTTCGGAGACGCTCAACTGCTACTTTAATTCTCAACTTCAGAGAAAAGCTTTCTGCACCTTTCTGATTCTCTTCGGAATATTACTAGAATTCTTTTACTTCGAATGATATATCCACCGTAGTCCTATCGTAGATTCACACCTTCACGAGTCTAGAGCGGGAACTATCTACGGGAGACGGGCAGTTGAATCGGTTTTGTGTAATCGATTCGCCTCACGCGGCAGTCGCGGACCAGTTGCCTCGTTGTTACAGTTCAAGCTTGCTCATACAGCTCGATCGACATGCGACTATTAATTTTGACACGGTACTGCTGCTACTTCCCTTACTCCTGTATTTCTCACTACTACCTCTTCTACATTCTCCCACATTCCTTCGTGCACGCGTCGTTTTCGCCGCGAAACGACGGATCCGATTAAGCTGCACCAAATCCAGCACCTGTCACTATTCAAAATATCAAGAAGTGTTGTTTTAAATGTATCTTGAGGCTTACGGATTTATGGGCTGACTCATTGTTTGACCAATCTAGGCTGTGTAATCCACATAGAGTGAGGTTAACGTCTACCCAGTCTGCTGATTACCTTTCAAAGACGATGAGGAAAAATTTGACCTTTGTAAAGGTATGCTCTCCGGGTATTGAGTGAAAGATAGTGTTTAAAAGGAAGCAACCCAGCCTTCGTCTTAAAATCCCGACAGATTCGTGTTTCTGCGTGCTCTCGACAGCAGATGTAAAGCTCGGCACGCTCACAACTCGAAATGACCTAGTTGCTAAAGAACTGCTTGCAGATGAACTAGACTGAAAGTGGTTGGAGCGTGTTTGCTATACATTGAAAACAAAAAAATGAAGTAGTTAGGCGGTGATTGTAGAAGGGTGCCGAATATGGATACCGCTAGAGTTATCATCAGTGATATTTGAAGAGGTCCTCGGGTGATTTTCGTGTAAACCATGTGGTGATTGCCAAAGGTTCAATTCCGAGCAATCGTCTTCTACGATTGATGCCGGGCTCCAGTGCTCGTTTTGCTGACCACGAAGTAAACATTACACTTGAAGAGGACCTTGCCAGCCACGTGAGTCGTCTTTTAGCTCGCTTTCATTCTGATTGTATGATGTGCTTGACGATGATCATCGTCCGACTGATGAACATTCTCTTCCTCAAAAGCTGCAGCAGTGGTGTGTTTTGAAGCGTAAGTTTCTCTTCAGTATACACTATACCCACGGACCCATTGGATTGCTGGCCGAAAAATGCAAAAGCCTATTGGAAGAAGGGACAAAATTGCGAATACTCCCTCCTGCGAATACTCCAAATACTCGCGAGAGTTTCTAGATCGTATCTCCGGAATTACCTTCGACTGAGAACAGCACCTTTTCAGAAATGTCCCTCATGAAGTAATCTGATTGATTTTGATACTCTTCTCAACAGATGTAGGCGATTTTGCTGTGATTGCGCAGATTCCAGCCCAAACCTTCATAAAAGAAAAATCGCTACTAGAAGCAATCTGGCTCTTTTCATCGTGCTCGCTACTTGTAGTGCAAAATATACGTATACTCTGAAATTCGAACATTCATTCACGCCAAACACCTTTTCCTCAGCAAAAAAGTTGTGTCGAAGAGTGTAGGAACGGCAGGTCACTTGTTCTTCCTCCCAAACTTCTTCTCGTCAAGAAGTTGATAAGGCTTCAGGAAACTATCTGGATACGAATGAATTTGCTTGGCGCAGACCTTGCTCATTGAAGCAGACACACATCCAAATCGGCAGTCGTTTCTCTCGTATTTTGGCGGGTTTAGTGGCGTAATCATTCCCACGCAATTGTATTCTTCCAAAAGGTGTATGCTTGTCGTAACCGAGACACGATCGCCTTAAAGTCTGTCGTTGGCCTGTCTGTGCATCGCGATACAAGAGATTGTCATGCAAAGAATGTCGAAAAGAAGAGTGATACCGGGAAAAACACCGAATCCGTTCAAAGACGGAACGGCAGCTGAATGATTGCGAGGCTCCATCATTTTTTGGAAACCGACGAATCGAGAGCAACAAAGCATATATGTGAGCTAAGTTATATGATAATGATAAGAAAAGGTGCAAGTTTGTAAAAATCTTTAGACAGGAAAATTGCGGACTTGCGTAAAGTTGTTATGATTTTCATGGTGCACCATGTATAGATCTGCGCAGTATGTCCTCTGAAAGAAGAAGGTCTCATTGATCTTGCCAATGATGTGATTCGTGGATCGCGAGGCAGAGCAGCATCTGTAAAAGCTGTGCTCTCTCACAACTCAAAAAATTTCATACCACGAGCTTCCTTCAAGGTCAGGCAGCCATGGTTACCATTTACTGCATCCAACTTTATGAACTCGCTCATACAGCCGCAAAAAGATACTGAGAAGAGTTTCAGTTCTTCTGCATAAAAGAGTATTGCCTTACGTCGCGAAGACTACGCAGTCCAGATTACAGGAAATTGGACAGAGTATTGTTCCACGCCCACACCATTTCTCTGATCTCGCCATTTCTGACTACCACATTTCCAGAAACCTCCGTCAGTTCTTGGCGGAAAAGAAGTTCACCAATTCCCGTGACATCGAAACTATGGTGACTTCTCTTACTCTCAGCTCTCCTCTTCCCGGACGAGCAGAATAGTCGACATGCTCCCCCATCGAATCGAACTCATAAATAATAATAGTGATTATATATTAAGTTGTTCGGAAAGGAATGCGCGTTTGAGCTCAAAAAAATTTTTTATTATAAAAACGAAACTAACCAAGATCAATCCAAAAGATATTCTCCATTACTATCGATGACTTGTTGCCAACGCGTACGCAAAGAATAGATTCCTCTTCTGAAAAACTCGGTCGGCTGCGAGTCGAAGTAATTGGACACCCAGAGTTGAACTTCTTCGCGGTTTTTGAACTTTCTCTCGGCTAAGGAGTGCTGCATCGACCGGAATAGATGGTAGTCGGATGGTGCGAGATCTGGGCTGTATGGCGGATGAGGCAGAACTTCCCAGCTCAATTCCTCAATTTTTTCCAAGGTGGTCTTCGCGACATGTGGACGAGCGTTGTCGTGGAGGAATTTTGTCGACATCGTTTCTACACCTTGACGACGAAGTGCTTGATCGACGCGGCTCAATTGATCTTTAAAAATATCCGCCGTAACCGTTCGGCCCGAATCCAGGACTTCCAAGTACATTAAACCTTTGCTGTTACACCAAACACAGAGCATAACCTTTTTGCCGTGTATATCCGGTTTCGGGGTGGGTTTCGGAGTGTCATCGGCGTCCAATCACTGCCTTTTTCGTGTTGTGTTGTCGAAACAGATCCACTTTTCATCTGAAGTAACAACCGAGTTGAAAAAACCACNCTTGTGTTACCTTGTTGGCGTCGCTCAGCTGGTGCGGTGCCCATTTTCCGCACCTGTTTGTCTTACCAATCGCCACAAATGCTCATGGATGGTAGAGTTTGAGCAGCCAAAGCGTACTGCCAGTTCTCGGGTAGTTTGGTGTGGATCCGAAATAATGACGTCCTTCAACACTTGCTTATCGACGACATGAGGCCGACTCCCATGTTTCGTCTTCCAAGCTTTCATTACCTTTTTTCAAGCGCTGGAACCACCGTCGACACCGGCTTTCTGACAGGACGTCATCACCGAATACTTCAAAGATGGTACGATGAGATTCAGCAGCCGATTTTCCTTGCTTGAAGTCGTACCACATGCAAGCCCGCAAAAGCAGTTTTTGGTCAAGCATCTCCTAAACTTCTTTTCTTCAAAAAAAAAAACAAAGTAGACATAGCCAAAAATATATCATAAGATGCGCAATGAAAAACTCTTCCTGACAGACAAAATTGTTTTGAGACATCTCATATAGTACGGGAGAAATAAATGGACAAAGTTAGCGCGCATTCCTTTCCGAACAACCTAATATATTACCAGTTGAGCTGCGCACAACACCGTGCGCGTTTCATGACCTTCAATAAATGGACTCCCTCGAAGATAACCTGAAGCGTAATCGTCTTCACAACTTAGTAACCACCCTCTTCCAAAAAATGGGCAGTGCCGTTCTCCCACCCCGAATAATAGCGTCATAAGCCGTTTATTGAGAGCGCATATTTCTAGCAAACTGCATTTGGCAACCATTTACATAAGTTTATTTATATACTAACAGAGACAATCCAAAAAATCAAAAAAAGACCTTGAAATCATTAATTTCTTGTTTACTCCTTGCTGTTGTGGAATGCCTGTCTTACACTGGAGATGAAATGGGAATTCATTCACACTCTAAAATTTATCCGCACCCGTCGCAGTAGGCATTTGATAGCCTACCAAACGACGATCTCGTAGCCAATATATTGTTTGATGAAATTCCATGCAAAAATCATAATAGGCAGGTTCATATTTACTATTTTCATGCAAACACCGCCCCCGGTGAGTAGAGTCACCTGCTACCTAGTTTTCCTATCTTGCCGTCTACATCTCTACCAAATTTGAACGCCTCAGATCCACATTTACTATTTTCGATTTCGAGGAGGGCCCGCCACAGTGGGCGGAGTCTACACCCGTCACCTACCATTAGTTTTCCCTTTCTGCCGCCTACATCTTTTCCAAATTTGAACGCTCCAGGTCCAAATTTACAATTTTCGATTGATCCCCGCCCCCAGCGGGCGGAGTTTACACCTGTCACCTACCATTACTTTTCCCATCTTGCCGCCTACATCTCTACCGAATTTGAACGCTTCAGGTCCAAATTTACTATTTTTGAGGAAGCCAGGCCCCCAGTGGGAGGAGTCTACATCTGTCACCTACCATAAGTTTTCCCTTTCTGCCCCCTACACCTCTACCAATTTTGATTACTCTAGGTCCAAGAGAACAGGAGTTACAGATTTCGTTGAACTACCGCACGCCCCGCCCCTAGTGGGAAACTCCACCCCTGGTGGGCGGAGCTAGCTTAAGTCACGTGCAATTGAGGAGTTCGGCTCATTCTCCACTTGTTCCAACCTGTCTGAGCAATCTGTTCCAGTTGATTTCCAAACGGCACCATTTCAGATAGTGTTACAGACAAACAGACAAATAGACAAACGTACAAACAGACAAACGGACATTTGCGGTTCACATATAGTAAGGATATGGTAGAGATCACGATACTCTTCAAGTTGACAAACGAAGTGGTGAAGAAGAGCTCATCGGATGCTAAGTAAGCGAGGGAATTCGTCGACTTCGCAAAAAATAGGGCTTTCTGGAAGTAGTGGACATAGTGATTGCACGAGATCACCATGACGAGGGTGGCATATAGGAGATATTTAGATGGTTGGTTTCAGTTGTTGCGATTGCGTAAAGTGCTGACTAAATTATATCAGAGGTCCAAAACTGTCTTTCACTGTCGTCATTAGTCATCCCTAGTTCTTTGAATTTTCATTATAGGAGTCCCTTGAGATGGTCCGGCCTCTACAACGCCTTGAAACTCATCCGCTATGGGTGTGCATTCACCATTCATTCATTCATTACATTTCGCAAGCTCTCACAAAAATCCTTTTAACACCTATCTAGGCCGTTCAGCGATCTGACAGCGCAACCTACGCTATACCTTAAAAGAGAGATTTCTCGAAAACCATTTTTATCATGAACTCTGCCTTTGATGAGCAAGAAAATAAAAATCTGGAGGAATCTCAAAAATGCATACAATTGTCTCGAGAATATTCTATTACCACTTTGTAATACAAATATTACCACTTTGTAATACAAACCGCAAAGCCTCTCACTGTTTTAATGTAGTCACTTTGAAATCACGGTGTGATGCACTGCGCGCGACGTGTGCGACGTAACTCAGCTTCGTGGATGAAAGATTCGAGCGCCCCTTTCTCGCCTCAGTCGACCTGTTTCCAGAGTGTTCTCGAGTTTGTATCGAAGAAATTGAAGGAACTGATCACGTATCGGCGATAGTTAAAGAGTAAAACGATGCTACTTGCTCTGTTTTGTGCTCAAACCACGTTTTTGTTTTTGTAACAATATGTTGTTTCCATAATTTTGCCTCCTTGGGAGATAAGCAGTTGGATCGGTCAGGGTCAGTTACTCGCTGCGATTTGGCCTTTTTCACCTGTTCACAACAACTATTTTGTCTAAATGACTAATGATATGTTTGATCAGAAGACATGTGTCTGTGATTCTTGGTGTCGTTATCCACAAATGATGGGTAAGGAACAGACACCTCTCAGACTACAATCCGAATAAATGGTTTTAATACAAGAGAAAAACACGTTTATATTTAGAAAATGAAAGCAATCGAAAAGGTCAACTTAGGCCGATCCAACTGCACTACACCCTTTCACCCAACACATATCCAATTTTCTAGGACTCGCAAATGTGGACAGCAGCGGAGAGCGCTTCGTTCCGTCGAATACTCAACATATTTCCTTTGGTGAAAACTCGCACTGTGAAGTCTTCTATAGTACATAATGATTACAGAAGACCAGTTCAGGTTACTATTTTTGCTTTCACACGCTCCTATTGAAGTTGCCTCACCTTACTGAGTCGGACGTACGTCACTGACATTTAATCCTTTCCATTCATGTAACTGTTTAATCGATCACCATTAGCAACTATCACCACACTCGTAGCATTTGTCGTCCCGTTTGCTTATTAATTTGGTCAGGAGGGTGCCAGTAACTTCTCTGCTCGCCGAGAACAAAGTAGTGATCAAACGTGCAGCGTTGGCGCAGTTGGGAGGGCGAGGGATTGGAAGACGCGGCACGGGGGTTCGAATACCTGATTCATGCGTCTGTTTTGTGTTTTTATCTAAAGTGTATTAAACGCTTGCTAAGCCCTTTTACGCATCATATCTACTACCTACAGCCCTCCATCATATTTATGGAGCACCAGAAATGTAATACGAGTGAATTTTTTCGTCGGTTCCACAGACCGATCAGGGAGGAGTGCATATAGACCCCTTCTGCTCTGGCCCTCAAGATCAGGGCCAATACAACCCACATGAGCATGAGCAATGAGCAAGGAACTTATGCTTGATCAGGTGAGATCGTGTGTTTCATCAACAGATTTGCCTTTAACCCTACTGGTCATGGACTCATGGAGCTCGTTCGAGGACCTTGAAGCGATTCAGGATGCTCTGCCGATTAGCAGGGAGGTGAAAGTGCTCATTATTCCACCGGACGCAGCTTCTGAAATTAAGCTTCTCGATGTATATTTTTCCTACAACATAGAGCCATTTATAAGTGTACTGTCTCTTTCGTAATTGTTCATGACTTCCACTTGAGCAACCGCAACTCCATAATTCGCTTTATCTCCCTAGTGTACTTTTTGTTTAGCGCACCTAGATTCAAGAAATTCTTTTCTTGCTCATAGTTTGCATCAGGGTACCAAGATAGTGAACTAGAATGATTTGAAATTTCTGTAGGAAATTGTTTCCCATCTCAACTGAACGGAACTGTAAGAGTTGCGGTTGTGACGAACTTTCTTTAATACGTTGCTCACATTGTGAGAAGTTTTTCTGCTCCAAACACTGTGTTAGATGATCATATCTGTTTAGAAAATGCTCATCTGTTGTTTCGATAGTATTTTTTCACAAAAATGACAGCTGAATTGTACCATAGAGGGGTCATCCGACAGCTCTCTTTTGTAAGTGCATGGAGCTGCTGAATTTCTTGACCACATCTTGAGTGCTGTTAACAGCCGCTTGAGGTCGTATGTTAAAAACATGGAATCTTACTGAGGCATAGAGATGATTTATAAATGTTTTCTCCTTTGTAAACAACTTTGTCGGTCCTATTTAATATTCCAGGTGGAATTGTATGGTATTCCCGAGGGACATACTGACACATCCCCGGAGGTCGGTATCTGCATTGCCGCTCTTTTCGCAGCTGAACTCCGCGGACGAATGCAGCTTCGTCGTATAGCGGATGCGGCGAATTTCTCTCCAGACACAAATTTCAACCAGGTCTCACTTTGATACTTCATATCTGCTCCTTGTGGCGTTTCACATAATTGTCGTCTACCTTTTGCAGATCGAGGAGCCTCCACCGCTTCGAGAGATTCCCCTCTTTCGAAGAAATTTCCCAGCAGATTGGAAACGTGACTCGACAGCAGATCGTCTGTCTCGCAGCAGCGAATTAGCGAAAGAGTGGCAAAAGTGGTCGCCACGTACTGCCCGTGTTCCACCTTTGGAAGTCGAATGGTTGGATGAGCATGGGTCCGTTTCTGACAAACAAGTGTTTTTTGTGGTAAGGTATCTTCTCCACGAAGATCGCATCGCGCTCGCCGCAGCCGCCGCGTAACCTGGAAATGCGATCGGTAATTTGAGCGCACAGTCTGTGAATAAGACTGCGCGCTCCAACCGCCCTTTAACTATTCGCCATTTCTTCTCTTCCCATGCGGTCTCGATCTACAAACCCAGTATCCGTACAGCCTACTGAGTTTCCATATTGAGTGGGGGAACTTTGTGAAGCTTAAAGGCACAGTTCACGATAATTTTGAAGCACCCCTTTTCAGTCGAAAAGCGGAAGTATAGGTTGGGAATGGTTATTGGTAGAGAAGAAAGCTTAAGAATTTTTGAGAAAAATAAGGCTCATTAAAAGTAGGGAAAATAGAGGTTCGACGAGATTACCATGACGGAAATAACATGGAAGGGGTATTCGAACGAGATTTCAGTAGTCACAATTGCGCGAAGAGCTGACTACATCAAGCCAGAACTGTACAAAACTGCCTTTCGCTGTCGCTATGGGTCATGACAAGTTGTTTGAAGTTCCTACACGGGTTCCTTTGTGATCCGTGCAGCCTCTACAGTGCCGGTGAAACTCGTAA